CCGCTCTGGTACTGTGCACCGGCTCTTGCTGGTACGCCGTACTGGGGCGTACCAGCTTACTTTCACCTCTGGCTGGTGGTTTCCAGAAAATGCTGCTATTGCCGCAGGTTTTTTCCAAAATTACTTTCATTTCTGGAATCCCAGATCAGAGGGTGAGCAAGGCACACAGATCATGTGACTCTCCAGATTTCTGCCCAGAGACACCTAACTTACTCCCAGCGTGCAGGGCAGAGGCTGGGGCAAAGGTGATGTGTGGGCAAGGCATGTGTGGGGTCATGTGCCCCTCAGATTTCTACCCAGGAAGGTTGACAGGGCCAGGCCCCGGCTCCCCACCCTGGGGAGGGGGAAAGGCCTGCAGGGAGGCCCTGATTGATGGCCTGTGCCTGTGCCAGCTTCCCTGTCACCGTGACAGGGAGCAGGACACTGCCCCCCACCTGGAGGTCGCAGGTACCCCCTCCAGCAACCCCCGAAATACCTCCTCCCAGTATACACACACCCCTCCAGTACACCCATATAACTCTCCAGCACCCCTCAAATGCCCCCTCCCAGTACACATGCTCCTCCATCACTCCCCCAAATACCCCCTCCTAGTACACACACACACACAAATACCCCCTCCCAGTATACATCCCCCCTCCAGCACTCCCCCAAATGCCCCCTCCCAGCACACACACACCCCTCCAGCACCCCCCAAATAACTCCTCCAGCACCCCCAAATATCCCCTCCCAGTACACACACACCCCTCCAGTACCCCACAAATAACTCCTCCAGCACCCTCAAATACCTCCTTCCAATACACACACCCCTCCAGTACCCCCCAATACCCTCTCCCAATACACACACACCCCTCCAGTATCTCCCAAATAACTGCTCCAGCACCCCCAATGCCCCTTCCCAGTACACACACACCCCTCCAACACCCCCCCCAAATAATTCCTCTAGAAACCCCCCTAATACTCCCTCCCAGTACACACACCTCTCCAGTACCCCCCCCAAATAATTCCTCCAGCGCCCCCGCAAATACCCTCTCCCAGTATACGCACCCCCCTTCCAAAACTCCCTACTTTGTTTCTATAAATACATTGGACTATGTTTGGGCTAGTTTTTAACTGATGTTAGGCTATTAATGCAGTAGAAATCCGACGTCCCTGGAGACACCTGACTCCTCCTCAGGATGTAGGGCAGAGGCTGGGGGCTGGGGGCTGGCTGCTGTTGAGACTTGCTGCCAACTTCTCCCCTCCTCACACAGACTTGGGCTTGCCAAAACCACCATGGAGCTTCCCCTTGGTGGGCAGGGCACTTGGCAGCAGGATGCCAGGCTCCCTTGCCACGTTGCAGAGCGGACGACCCTCACACCTGCTCTCGGCAGTGTCCACAGTGCCTCTCCCCGCTCATCTCCCCAGCACATAGATGGCTCCTGTCCCCAGCACACAGCTGGCTTTAGCCCTCAGTGCCCAGTGTTTGTCCCCCACCCCACTGAACAGCTGGCTTTAGCCTTCAGTATTACAATGAAATACGATATTTTTATATTACTATAACGCATATCCAAAATTTCTGAAATATACAGCTTTGAAAATCTAAAATTACTGTGTTTTCATTGCTGAAAAACACTGGCTCTATTGATAAGGAGAAGGGATCTGACACCACTCAGGGGAGTGCTCTAATCTCTGGACTACAGAGGGAGTCTCATTCTTTCTCTGGCCCAATTAACATTTAATTATAGTGGAGCAACTTCAGCAGGAGAAACTGAGGAGACCCAAACCAGAATATCCCATAGTTCTTACTTCTGGAGGAACCTTGCTACAAACAAGCTCTGAACAAAGGACTGAATGACCCATCCAAGCTGTGGATGTACTCCAGAGACTTGACTTAAGCCAGCAGTTCATTCCATCACTGCTACAAGCCTGAACCAAGAACTTTGCCATTACTGTATGTAATTGATTCCTTTAACCAATTTTAATGCTCACTTTCTTTCTTTCTTTCTTTCTTTCTTTCTTTCTTTCTTTCAATAAACCTTTAGATTTTAGATACTAAAGGATTGGCACCAGCGTGATTTTTGGGTAAGATCTAAGTTATATATATTGACCTGGGTGTGTGGCTGGTCCTTTGGGATCAGAAGAACCTATTATTTGATGAGACTGGTTGTAAAGAACCATTCATTTCTGAATCCAGTGTTTTTGGTGGTGATATAAGAACTGGAATGCCTGAGGAAACTGCCTTTATGTTTTCTTGTTAGCCTGTGTGGTGTACAGGAGTTTACTTTTGTGGCTGGTTTGGTATATCTTATAAAAGAATAACCACCAGTTTTGGGTTGTGTTTGCCCTATTTCTCAGCAGTTCATCCTGAATTTGGCATCCTCAGTTGTGACCCACTAAGGCACAGTTACAGGGCCTACACTCAGATTTATGGATTGCACTGGGGTTTAGTTGGGAAATAGGCACCTGGATGTCCAGAGTGAGGAAGCACTGTGCATGCGCTGAGGCAGAAATATAGGTGCATAGGTACCACAATAACTTAGGCACCAAATGAGTTTGGTCGCTTACAGGTTAGATGACAGCCACATGGGTGCTTTGTGGATCTCAGTGGCACCTAAAAATGGGATTTAGGTGTCTGGGAGTTAGATGCCTAAGCACCTTTGTGAATCTGGGCCTAGGTGCCTATGTCACATGGCACCCCCAGGCACCTATCTGCATCTTTAAGTGCCTAAATGCCTTTAAAAAATTGGCATTATGGGCCCAATCCTGCAAACATATGTGCATGTAATTGAGGAAAATCACTTATATGCATCAGTGTTTGCAAGACTAGGCCCTGCCTTCCCATCTGAAGGCTATGTAAGGTGAAGGTCTTTAGGTTGTTTCAGATAAGCTACACTATGTAACCCTATTCATGAGAAGGTTTCAGAGGACACGCCTATGGTGGTGTTTCCCAAATGGCAGGTCCTTATCCA